GGCTCCTTTCCAAGGCTGCTCTTCCCTGGGATCGGCCCCAGCAGGGGCAGGGATGGGAGTTTTCCTTGGCTGCTCCTGCCTTCAGTCCCTGGGCATTGGGAATGAAACTCCATTCCCTAAATCCTGTGGGAGAGATCCCGTTTCTTCAGCAACTTCCCTGGAAATGTCCCACAGGTGTCTGGATGTGGCCCTTGGGGATGGATTTGGATGGGTTAGGGGTGATCCTGGTGGGACTGGAGGATCCTGGAGGGCTCTTCCAACCCTGGGGATTCTGGGATTCTGGGATGAGGTGATTCTGGGATGAGGTGATTCTGGGATGAGGTGATTCTGGGATTCTGGGATGAGGTGATTATCCTGCAGCAGTGCCAGGGAATTTTCCTGCTGCCTGTTGAATTTGAGGTTGAACTGATGTTTTCATGTGGGTGAATAACAAACCCATCCCCAGGACTCGTGGTTAAGGATTTTCTGGGAGAGGGAAAGAAAGGGATTGAACCAATTAGTTGGAAAACATAACTAAATATAACTAAAATCATCAATAAATCCAGGGGCAACTTTGCAAATGGCCTTCCTGAAATAAAAATGGCAGGGGATGGAATGAGCAGGGGATGGAATGAGATGGTTTTTAAGGTCCCTTCCGAGGCAAACCATTGCATAATTCCATGATTCCATGTCTTCTCCCATTCCCAATCCAGCACTTTGCTGCTCCCTTCACAGGAAGAGGATTAAACAACCTCGGGATTGTTCCCATTCCACAAACAATTCCTCCTTTTTTGGGCTCCTCACCTTGACAGGTTCCTCCCGGGGACTCTCTTTGGCCTTTCTTCCAGACCCATAAAAAAATCACATTTATGCCTCTTTGTGAGCAGGGAATTTAAATCCTGGAAAGCTGCCGGGCTGGATGATCCCTGTGCATCCCTTCCCATTTAGGATATCCCATAAAAAGCATGATTCCTATAAAAAGTAGGGAATTTTCTGTCCCTCTGTCTGTGCCCAAGTCAATCAATGTCACATGAAGGTGACAGGATTTATTTTCTTGCTCAGGAATGAAATGTCACCCCGTGCTCAGGACTTGTGTGTGTGTGTTTCCATTCTCCTTCTGATTATTTCCCAAGGAATTATTCCCTGAGAAATTATTTACTGATAAAAACTCAACAAACTGAATGACCCTTTTCCAGCTGCCCTCAATTAACACCCACCTTGTCAGAGCTTAAAGTGCTTTAATTCCTTCCTAAAATTATTGGCTTCTCCCAGCAGACAGAAATTCCAAGGGGGAAATTTCCCTTTTTGTTTTATTTCTCTCCACATGCTGAAATTTTGGTGCATTTGTGAACGTTCCAAACAAACCAGAAATAAAACTATCACAGAACAAAATCAGCTACAGCAGGATTGGAGTCGCCCTGTTCTGAGTTATTCAAATGGGGCAATTAAAAAGTTAAATATTCACTCAGGTTTCAGAAAAGGCCTCGTTTGTGTGCTGGCAAATGGGTGACATTTAACCCGGGGGCTGTTTGGGGAACTCGATTTTTTTAGGGGCTGTAACAGAACGTTTTTGTAAAAAAAAGGATAAAAAAATCAAGTTTCTTTTCAATTTTTCACTGCTCTTTCAGGGCATTTTCTCACTGGAGCTGGTATTTCTTTTATTATTTGAATTATTTTGTGTGTGGACCAAAACATCCCAAATTATTGGAGGTGAAAAAACCCCCCACAAACTCTTTTAACTTCCACTTTTCTCTCCTGATTTAATTTGGGAATATCATTGGCAATTTATTTTCTTTACTCCCTGAAGCTCCATAAAACAATTTCTTTATTATTTGAGTATTTCTTATCTGTTTGCAGCACAAATCCCAGGTATTTTATACACAGAGTTTTTTATATCTATGTAACTATATATATATATATATAGGGTTTTTATATAGATATAACTATGTCATTTTTATATAACTATATAGTTTTTATA